CCTCGCGTCGCTGGACCCCCCGTTTTGGGTCAACCGGAGAGTGGCTCTGAGACAAAGCCAGGACAGGGACAAAGTCGGACCGGGGCAGATCCAGGATCTCTGAGGTCTGGCGGTTCTGGAGGACGTATCGCGCGCCGCAAACGTTCCAGAGCGCTCGGAAACGCTCTGAGAGCGTTCCGGGAACGCTCCGGATGGATTCCTCCCTGCCCTGGCCCCGCCCGGAGCACGCTCCCAGACCTCTGGCGACTCGAAACAATCGCGCCCTGCAATTGTTCGCCAGCCTCTGGAACCGCGTTGTGGGCCGCAGGGCCGTCAAACGACTGCTCGAGATGAGAAGCTGGCCCGAAGGGGGCTGTCGGAATTTCCGAGGGCCCTGGGATTCGATGGGCACCCCCGCTCACCCCCGAAAACTAAGAGACAAGACAGGGCCATCACACGCAGACGAGGCCCAGCAGGCCCATCTAGATCTTCAGTCACACTCAGGCCCCAAACTGACACACCCCCAACGTCCCCCAAAGCTACGAGGCAAGGCAGGTAATCTACATCTTCAGTCAGCACCTAGGCCCGTGGCAGGGCTCGAGCTAAACAATGTTTTTTGTTATCGTAGTGCTGTCGAGTTCCTTCGTTATGTTTTCGTTATGCCGTTGCTGCGAAACGAAATAACGACGCGAGAAACGAAACATAAAAACGAAGCGGCACGAAACGAAAAATCAAAACGACGCACCAGCAAAACGGAATCAGAACGACATCAAATCGCCAAACACCGCTCAGCTCGAGCCCTGCCACGCGGGGCCCCCAGTGGGGGGAGGGGATCGCGCCGGTATGGGCGGCGCGAGAGGGGGGCCTCGACCTCGAGGAGGCTGCCCGTTTTGCCACCGCGCCTGCACGCAAGCCTGCCCGACAAACCACACACCGAGCGGTGCGCGGGCAGGAACGCTGGCATAGAGTCGGTGGCGGCCAAGAGGGGGGCGTCCAGCAGGGGGGGGGGCACGAATCATGGCGCAGGCGGCACGTGCGCGGCCCAAAGGGGGGGGCCAGGGATGCAGTGAAACAAGAGGAGGCGCCATGACATCCGAGGAAACGTCATGGCCCACGCCATGAAAACCACCATCCTCCCAGTCATCACCCCTCTTCGCCGCCCCCGATATGGAAAAGAGCCCAGGCCTATAGGCTACAAGCCGGGCAACTGCCGTCGGCTCCCAATGAGGAGCTGTGCTTGTGCGCTGCGGGGCCCTGGGCACCACAAGCGGGAACGGCACCACAAGCGGGAACGGCAACGGCCTGCACGCAAGAGGGCCCAGAATCGAATCCTCCAGTCGGATCGGCGATCGAGAGGAATCGGATCGGCGGAGATCGGCGGCCGGATCGGGAAGAGTCGGATCGGCGGCAACCTGCAGGCCATATGGATGCGTCCTGCGCAACATCGGAGCCCGAATCTGGGAGGCCCGAGCCGACTCGAATCGGAAGCGGAAGCCATCGAAGACGAAGCCGAACCGCACCGAACCCGAGCACCTCGACACGAGCCCTGGGCGGTCGGTCCCGGGCGCAGGCAGCGACACGCCGCACCGACGCGGTCGACACACGGGGCAGCCCTGCGGGCGGGAGACCCCCTGCCTCCGGAAGCCTCCAGAGGCCCGTGGAGAGCTCCGCAGGACCGCGGATGGACGGCGGCGCCGACCGCCGCGAGGGAGCCGACAAAAAAATAAACGTACACGCCCAGCCACGCAAGTGAGTGTGGCCCCCAGTTCGCGAGGCCGCCCTCGCGTTGCGAGCGCTCGCACGATGCGTTCGCTCGGAGCCCCTTGTGGATCCATGGCGAGGGCCGGACCTGGAAGCCAGGGCCGGGGCGGGCTTCGTGTCTCGTTCCTCGAGAGCCCATCACGGCGGGGCATCGGGGCACACCCAGGCTTAGGTCGGGCATGTCCCCGTACAGGCAGAGCTTGGACGAACGAAGAAGAATAGTCAAAGCACTATTCAAAGCTAGTCAAACAGATTAGAAAAACCATCCCCATCCTATTTCTTGACTATTTTGAACATTCCTCCTGTAGAGGGACATGCCCGACTTAAGCCCAGACATCCGTTGACACGAGCAGACGCGAGATGACGCGGCGCCCTTAATTACGCGGTGGCTTACGCGAGCCCCCAGCGCGGCATGCTGCTTTGGAGACCGAGGCGCTCACGCGCGACCTTCCGCGGGCACCCTGCCAGCCAGTGTCGGCGCAGACGGCCCCGTCTTTTTTGGTGCGCCGCTCGCGTGAAGGGAAGCGCTCGGGGGCGACCAGCTCAGGGGTGGAGTGAAGGGAAGCGCTCGGGTCGGGAGCGGCCAAGAGGGGGGTTGTCCAAGAGGGGGGGGTATAAATCATAACCGGCGGCATGTGCGCGGCCGAAGGGGGGGGGGGGGGGCAGGGGACGTAATGCAACAAGAAGAGGCGCCGTGAAATCTGGGGCAATATCATGGCCCCCGCCATGAGATCCACCCCCCCTAGTCATCACCCCCCTCCCTGCCGCCCCCGAGCTTCGCCACCGCTCGAGGCGGAGGCCCCGGCCCGGGATCGGCGACACGCTGCGCCGAGGGGTCGGCGACAGGCACCCCGGGGCGCGGAGCCGCACGCGATCCCATGTGGGCGGGGTGGGCCACGGAGCCCTCTGTCGGCGACGAGCGGGCGGGGCGGGAGGCCGACGCATCGCCTTCGGTGGCAACTCACGGGAGCCTCCCGTGGGACGCACAGAGACATATTAATACGATATATATATATATATGTATATCTATATATGTATATATGTATATATATATGCCTTGGAGGCGCGCGTCCGACCCGAACATGTAGTATACCCATCTTGTAGTGTATCGTTTCCCGAGCGGTGTGGCCAGACAGCGCCCGCCACGACGCACATACTATAAGATTTCTCGGTGCGCGCGTCGCCCCTGGGGGGGCGACGCACATATAGTAGAAGAATGTTGGGGTGACGCCGATCCCATGCCATCTTGTCGGCTTCTGCGGATCGACGCGAAATCGACGCCAGTCGACGCTGAATCTACGCTGATCGACATAAGCCGACGCTAAATCGGCGCTACCTCATCCACTCCCAAGCGCAATCGACGCTAATCGACGCTGAAGACGGAATTAAGAGGGTATACCCAGCTCCAACGATTTGCAACCGAACATCAAGCCCTGATCCCATCCCCTCCCCAAACATTGCCCCTGCGAAGCGCGCCGGATGCGGCGCGGGAGGCGCTGCCGGGGGGTTCCCCAACGCCGATCCAAGAATTCCGCGCGGAGCTTTGGAACAAGTTGATGGTTCTGCCGTTTCTTCTTCATCTTTTTTTTCTTCTTCTTCTTACTTCTTTTTGTTATTACTATTAATGTTCATCTTACTCGTACTATTCTTATTAATATAAATATTCTCTTCGACCTGTCCAACCCCCCCCCCAACGAACCGGTGCCCCTGGCCACGCCACATACGAACATCGCGACGCCGGAGTTCTGGGGAACAACGACAGCGGCCCCGATAAACTCGGGCTCGGGGTGCGAGGCGGCCGGCAGGTGCCACGCGCCCTGCGTAGATGATATATGTGTGCTGTCGCACCCGGCCCGGCGCACACCAAAAAGAGGACCAAGAAGGCCAGTGGGAAGGGCCAACGATGAAGGCCTCCTAGATGGCGTCGGAGTAGATTGGGTCGGAGGATCGCGCCGCATCGCCGAAACATCGGCAAGGCTTCGACTATGCATCGCGACGCCTTTGCGACGTCAGCGACGCATCGGCGATGTTGGGGTGGAGACAATTGGGCTGCACATTGAGCCGCATCGCCGTTGCATCGGCGATGCGGCGCAATCCTCCGAACCCATCTACTCCGACCCCATCTGGGAGGCCTAGACAAGAGTGGAAGCACGAAACAAGAAGCCGAGCCGTCTGCCCGAAGAGGCCCCCAGCAGGGACAGTTCTCGAATAGCTGCCATCCCAAATGCTGCACTGGCACGGTGGCGAAATTGCTGAGGGCAGATGGATACATATAGAGGAAGAGAAACGGCATAAACATAAACTTTCGATGGTTTGCGCGGAGTTCTTGCATAAGCGCTGGACCCCCCCTCCTGGGCGCGCGGAGCGCGCGAGGGTCGGTGCTGCAGGCGCCGCCAGGGCGCTCCAGCGCAGATCCAAGAAATCCGCGCGGAGCGCGAAAATTGTATGTCTATGTTCATGCCGATCTCTTTTCTTCTTCTTCTTCTGCAAAATGCTGCGCTGGCACGGTGGCGGCATTGCTTGAGGCAACCGGATAGATACCCAGACCCCCGACGCCGTGATTTTTTTCACAACGTTCGGGAGCGGCCAATAGGGGGGTGTCCAAGAGGGGGGGGTGCAAATCATGACCGGCGGCATGTGCGCGGCCCAGCGGGGGGGCCAGGGATGTAGTGAAATGAGAAGAAGCGCCTCGAAATCTGGGGAAATATCATGGTCCCCGCCATGAGATCCACCCCCCTCCTAGTCATCATCCCCCTCTGTGCCGCCCCCGAGACGTCGACCCCCAGAGGTCTGGACTCCTTCCCCGGGGACCCGCTCCTCGCCCCGAGCCGTCTGTTCGACGGCCCGGAGGCCTGCCGAGAGCCTCCCGAGGCCGAGCATGGCGAAAAAAACATCCCGTCGTGGCGGCCTGGAGTTGGGCACCCACACCAGCACGGGGCGGCGCCTCCACCAGAGGAGATATGATCCTACATTCCCGCGTTGGTGGCAACATTTCGGTCACCTTGGAAGCCAGGATATTACCACCACCGCCGAGATCTGCATCTCCTGCCCTCGGCGGAGGCACAACGCCGATATCGGTGTTGGTGTCAACCTCCAGGCCTGCGACCGTCGTGGTTTTTCTTTTGTCACGACGCGAGGGGGTCTGGGCAATTAGTGAGTGCAGTCAACCCGCAGGGTAAGGCTGCGCGATGAGGATGCGCGAGGGCCTCGGAGGCCCACTTCGAAGCTTCTCGCGCGGGGCGCGCGGCCAACGAGAGTGTCCAGGGAGGGACCCAGAAAAGCAAGGATGCAAGGGTACCCTTGGGAGGGAGGCCCATGCTTCCTCTGCGGGTCGACTGTGAGGGGCTCCGCGGAGGGCGCTCCCGCAGACCGGCCCCGCCGAAAGGAGTGCCGAGGAGTCGCCCGAGGCCGAGGCCCGGCCCTCCGCCGAGGCGCCGCCGAGGCCGCCGCCGCAGAGGCGGCGTCGGCGCGCGGCGGAGGCGTTTTCCTCGCCGCCTTCTCGGCCTCTGCGGGGGGCGCCCCCGCGGAGCGGCCCCGCCGAAAGGAGTGCCGAGGAGTCGCCGAGGCCGAGGCCCGGCCCTCCGCCGAGGCGCCGCCGACGCCGCCCTGCAGAGAGCGCGGTACGCGCCGGAGGCGTCTCTCTCGTCGCCTTCTCGGCCTCGGGGGGGGGCCGTGTGCGGGCTTCTCGGGCCGTCGAGGAAGCTCCCCAGGCTGCAGTGCTGTCGGACTCTGGAGGCCTGGAAATGGGCACCAAGACCAGCACAGGGGGGTGGCCTCCACAGGGGGAAGAGGATCCGAGATATCGGTGTTGGAGGTGGTATTTCGGTCACCTTGGAAGCCAAAATATCGCCACCATCACCGAGATCGGGATCGTCTTCCCTCGGTGGAGGCACACCGCCGATCTTGGTGTTGGTGTCAACCTCTAGGCCTGCGAGGACTTCATTGGACAGGACACGCGAGAGGACAACAGACCCCTCGGGGGGCCCCGACAGGAGACGCGCGGCTGCCGCCGCCGCCGACCGCCCAGGTGCAGTGCGCGATGGCCCCTGACGCATGGCATGGCGCAAGTGCCGCCCGCTCGGGCGTCGGAGCGCGCCGCTTTCTGGTTGGAGACGGGGGCCCTCGCTGATAGTCCACGTGCCCTACAGTCGGACTCGATTGGACAGGACACGCGAGAGGACAAAAGACCTTTCCGAGGGCCACACTGCCACGGGAATGCAGGAGGCACGGGTCGCGAGACACGGGACAAAAAGGTACCCTTGACTTGGCAGGATCGACCTACTAATCCGGGCCGACTGTGCCAGAGGCCTCCTAGATAGCGTCGGAGCAGATGGGGTCGGAGGATCGCGCCGCATCGCCGATGCATCGGCGATGCATCGCCCATGCATCGGCGATGCAACGGCCATGCACCGGCGACGTCGGCGATGCGTCGGCGACGTCGGCGTGGAGAAAATCGGGCTGCACATCGAGCCGCATCGCCGATGCATCGGCGATGCGGCGCGATCCTCCGACCCCATCTGCTCCGACCCCATCTGGGAAGCCTAGAATCGGGAAAACTGTCCAGGATGGAATGCCGGTCCCCTGGAAGGGGTCAAGAAGTCCCCAAACCTTGCACTGGAAGGCATCTGGAGATCGGAGGGCTGGGCAGGAGCCGTTCTCCCCCACTGAGAGGCCCTCTCCTGCCCATCGCGCGGCGATCAGCCGCCGCGAGTGGGGCACACGTGCCGCAAGCAGGGCAAGCCTGCCTCAGGCAGGGCGTCAGTGAGCAAGGCCCGTAAGCGAGCGGACCTCAGAGCGGAGGCCAGGGCTCGGCTTCTTCATGCTCGGCCGTAACAGCAAACACATGGGGGGGCGAAGATGGTTTCAAACATACTGGTGAAACGTCCGGAACGAAACGACTCACAAGTTTGCAAAGCGGATACCGCCGTCCATGCGGATGACCTCGCCATTCAAATACCCGTTGTCGATGATCGAGGTGCACAAGTGGGCGAACTCTTCTGCCAAACCGAACCGCTTCGGCGCTGCAACCTGAGCAAGCAGGCCGTCCTTCACTTTCTGGGCAGCCATCTGCATCAGCGGAGTGTCAATGATTCCGGGCGCAATGGTCATGACACGGATACCGTATCGGGCGAGGTCGCGCGCCATGGGGAGGGTCATCCCAATCACCGCTCCCTTGGATGCGGAGTACACAAGCTGGCCCTTCTGCCCCTCGATCCCCGCCACGCTCGCCACGTTGATGATGACGCCACGGCTTCCGTCCTCGGCCGCCGCGGTCTTCGCCATGGCGCTGGCCCCGTGTGCAGAGCCGTAGAATGTGCCGTACGTGTTGAGTTTCATGATGAAGTCAAAGACCTGGGCCTTGTGAGGCTTCAACTGTTTGTCGAGAGTGGTCAGTGCCATCCCCAGGCCCGCGCAATTGATCACGCCGTGCAGGCCCCCGAACTGTGCAACGATCTTCTCGACGGCACCGCTGACAGAAGCCTCCTCCGTGACGTCGGTCTGGCAGAAAAGCGCGCGGTCTCCAAGCCCCTTCGCGATCTCAGCGCCCTCCTCGCTCTTATCCAGGATGCCGACGTTGGCGCCCTGGCTGTGGAGCAGCTTCGAGGCAGCGAGGCCGAGGCCCGACGCGCCGCCCGTGATCATGTAGGTCTTGCCAGCGCGCGCCATCGGAATCTCTGCCGTCTCTGAATTCGCGCAGTGGATCGACTACAGAACTGGTGTACTCCAAACTTGACTCTCTCGTTGGCAACATGAGACACACATACATAGAAACACGTCTACTGGTCTTCGGAACATAGTAGGTACGTTTCGGATATTCGACGGGCAAGCAGAGTTGGGTTGAGTCGATCCTGCAGTCGATCCCCTACTCGATGAAGCCGTCAGAAACACGCGCGGCGTCCAAAACTTGCGTCAAACACCTCGAGTCAAACAGACAACGGAGACGGAAGGAGGGCGAGGCAAGGGTAAGGTGAGGACGAGAAGGCGAAGGAGGAGGAAAGAGGAGGAAAGAGGAGGACGAGGCAGAGAATAAAGCGAAGATGATTGGGGAACGCTCATCCGCACCCCACAAAAGCCCACTCTGCGAAGAAGCGGACGGCGATGGCAGAGACTGACTGAAGA